GCTGATGGAAGTCCCGCTGAGTGACGGCCGGCTTGATTTATTCGCCTGATTAATTTTCGGGGCCCGCATTCCGTTCAAGACCCACCCTACCCTGCCTCGGATTTGAAGAATGCAGCTCGGGAGGGAGAACATGAATGGAGGAACATTACAGTGAAGTTGAACTTGCGACACAGTTTAGAAAGAATTTCCACTTCTTATGTCATATTTATGAGAGTCGCTAAATGAGCAAGCTTATTTTTTTGTACTTAGTTGTTTTGCAGTTTTTTTTTTGTTTTGCTGTGCTATTAATGCTTAATTCCTAATGCCTTGCTCATTTGCAACACCCCTGCTTATACCAGCAAGATAATGCCAAAATACATTCTGCACGTGTTACAACAGTGTGGCTTCGTAGTAAAAGAGTGTGACTACGAGACCGGCCTGCCTGCAGTCCAGACCTGTCTCACAAGGAACATGTGAAAATTGAAAATTATGAAGCATAAAATTCGACAATGGGGACCCCAGACTGTTGAATATCTGAAGCCGTTAAGAACGGATCATCATTTTCACTCATGGACGCAGCGCTTCATCACCAATCTGCCTAGTTACACGTGTCAGTTATTGTGCAGATCTCAACATGTGGCGCATGCAGCAGCGACAGACACATCGGCGACAAGAGCTTCAAACATCCCTGAATGCCTTTACTTGAACCTCCACAGTAACAAGCTTGAAGTTGTTCCATAAAATTCGACAATGGGGACCCCAGACTGTTGAACATCTGAAGCCGTTAAGAACGGATCATAATTTTCACTCATGGAGGCAGCGCTTCATCACCAATCTGCCTAGTTACACGCGTCAGTTATTGTGCAGATCTCAACATGTGGCGCATGCAGCAGCGACAGACACATCGGCGACAAGAGCTTCAAACATCCCTGAATGCCTTTACTTTAACCTCCACAGTAACTGGCTTGAAGTTGTTTCTGGTTATCGTCCAATTCCGTAAGATGAGTAATGCCCTCTTGCAGCATACCAGTATTGTGACTCTGCGAACACTCGAGCAAACACTTCCCTCCTTGAGCAAAATAAGGGAGACGTCATGCGTGTTTGTGAGTGAACCAGAAACACAGGACATCGCATAATAAGCGCCATTATCAGCAAAGCGGCCAGACTTGGGGAGGAACTGTTTTGTGTAAACCCGGCTCGCTTGTTTGAGGAATGCAGAGGAGGAACCAACAACATCGTCTCTCTCTGGGAACATTTGAGCTCGGAGGTGCCGACTTCCGGGTAAGCAAGGGCGGGAGGGGGGAGGGAGAAAAAAAAATCTGCTTCATCAAATAAACTCATGTGAATGCACATCACTGAGGCTCGTGGTTTCGTTTATAAAGAGGGCACAGTGATTGCGATTGGCAGGCCGCCATCCTTCCCGCAGGCTTGATAAACCAGGGTAACGTTATCGTCGAAGATTTGCGACAACGTTACAATTCACAAATTGAAGTATTCGTCGTTTGCTGCTGAAAATCTCACATTTGCATTTTTTTTTTTTTGTTTGTTTGTGCTCTTTCTGAACCACTCTAAGAGGCCACATGACTCTTTCAAAGTTATCGTGATTCGTTCGGGATATTCTTTTAGTGACACCTGATGCCATTGCTGACTGATCTGAAAGCTTTGTTTAAAATGCTTCAATTAGGCTCGATTATCTCTCTAACACGTCCCAGGGCCCAACCACAATCGGGCCTTCACAGATTTTGATCGGAATGGAAGGACAACATTCAAATTTGGCTGGAATATAATTGAGTGGTACCCTCCTTGAAGCCCACAGAGGCTGGAGGATGCATTTCCTGTCTGAGGGGCAGCACTGGGGAACAGGAATTGATCTGAGCCGCAATTTAATCCTGGGCCCTCCGCTCCAGAGGATGCGCGATTTTAGACCCGGAGTCAGGTCAACAACAGACACGGGATTAAGCGCTTTACGGTAGTTCTACAAAATGTTGAAAGAGCAAAACCATCTACAAACGGAACAGACTCTCCATAATTTCAGATAACAACGCAGGCTAAACATTGCTCATCCCTGAACACAAAGATCTTAGAAGAGTGCATGTAAAGCATATTCACGATTCGTGACGTTTAAGCCTCCTCATGCCACTGGTGCGCTAATCTGCCCCAAAATTCTCACACCGCACTTCAATGCACCATAGTAGAGATTCTTCAGTCATTCGTCATTTAACATCGAGGCCGTGCGACGACACAATGCAGCCACTGTTCCCAGTGGAATCATCTACAAGAAAGACAAACACATTTGTCGTCGCTAACACAAATCCCGGTGCTGTAGCTCTTAATTAAATACTCAATTCAAGTCGTGTCTTCCTTTTAATACAACAACAAAAAAATTAAGTGGACATGTAGTGGCAACATAATGTGTGCAGAAAGTGAGACAAAATGACAACAGGAAAGGAGCACCACCTTAAAAGCCAACTCAGGCTAAGCCAGTTCTGCAGAAGGGAGTGGTTCTCAGATCACAACAAGGCAAATTATCCTTTGGTATGAACACAACACTTCAATTTAACAAAACATCACTTTTTTTTTTTTTTAAATATAACTCACCCTCGCGGTCCCGGCCACGATGAGCATGCTGTAAGAAGGCGGTTTTTCGAAAGCGGTGGATGTTTCCTGGTTGGAAGAAAAAAAACAAAACAGAAAATAAGATTTAAAATCAACTCTAAAATCCACTACACACCGTCTGAACATGCATGACGTTAAAATTAGCATCAATGCTCTGAACAAAAACAAACAGAATTTCACCTCTGGCGTTTGGATTTGTGCATACACTAAAATAATCTTTGCATTCAAGATAGGTTGAGCTTCCCCGCATCTTACACATTGGGTCTGGCAACAAAAAAAACTATATATGTATTGTTTTTCTTCTATGGCGTACAAAACAGAGCAAACAAAAGCTCGACCAAGCGTTGGCTCAAAAGTTTAAATTGGAAAACCAGGAAGTCACTACACCACTGTACCGCTAAAATAGTTTGCAAACAAAAGATGTCATCCCAAATATACGGGCCCGGTCATTATTTGCAGAGCGTGTACATAAAGCATGCTTTTCCAACTGTATTCCACAGGACCAGTTCTGTCAGACATAACTATGGCTGAATTTGGCAAGCTGGAGTCAAGTATGTCATCACGAGGGTGAGCAAGCGGCGCATATCTGGGCTGCTACTTCCTCTTCTGCGTGTCCGTCTTATCAGCAAATGAAGACGAAATATAGTCTCCCCGTTGACCTTTTTAGCTGATCAATTGCAACAAGATGCAGTGTTTGCTAGAAGCATTATGGGCCGAGGTGAATGACTGAGATCAACAAAACCGTGTCCTTCCCTATTCTCCAAATTGACCATTTATAGTTTAATAACTTGACAAGATTTAAATGGACATCCAAAAATAAGGCTGGGATTTAAAAAAAGAAAAATCACACGTTGAAATACAGCATGGTTATCTCTCAGTCAGTGGTGGAAAGTAATGAAGTACAAATACTTTGTTACGATAAGTCGATTTTTTTTTTTAATTACTATACTTTGAGTGATTCTTTTACTCTTACCTCCTATATGTGAAGCCAGATATCTGTCCCTTTCTACTCCTTTGTCAAAATAGACTTCTTACTTTTTTGAAAGATGTATTTTTTTCAGTCAAGTCATAACTATCATTATCATAACCAAACTAGGATTTTTTTTTTGTTGTTGTTCACTTTTTTTTAACATTCTTCCACATACAAGCGTTTGCAAGTAATTAAGAGGGAAACTATTTTGTGCCCAGTCAAGTTTTTTTTTCCTGCTGTGCAAGGTGAACAAACAGTTATCGTGTCTAAATAAGTGACAGTAAAAATTCATTTGTACTTAAGTACATTTCAGTCTGTAAAGCAATTGAATTACCGGTAGTACTTTCACCAGTCTCTTTTTTTTTTTGTTGTTGTTCACAAATATCTGTAATTTTACGTCATTACAACATTTGCCACCTCTGCGATTGTTACTTTGTACTAACAAGTGACCTGACACGACAGGATAATTACTCTGAAGACTCTTTCACAAACATCTAAGAACCATGTCATTGCCTCCTTGGAAAACGGTTAAATTTGTCCCGATTGACATTATGCGTTTACCCTGCTGAAGTAACCACCGTGCCTGAGGACAAGCAGCCTAGAGAGGGTCAGAGGGACCAGAGACAGAAGAAGTGGCGAGGTGCCATTTGCTGTGTATTAGCAGGCGCAGACATAGTGGGAACACCCCCGCAGCCTCGTGCTAACCTGTTACCTTGGGCTTCAGGAATTTTGCTGAAACTACGGCGGAAAACTAACAAAAAGCCAATGCCTCGATGGCTAATAACTGTGTACAAGACTAGAAAACAGAAGTAGAGTACAGAAGCAGAGTGAAAGCACCGCAGGTGGTCTGAGAGGAACTGACACAAATAGCAAGATTTCTGCTCAAGAGCTACATTTATTACCTCATTTGGATTTTAACTGACGATACATTCCAAAAACAATTTTAAACCAAAAACATTGTGTTATAGAAGCACTTTATTACAAATACCTTATGCTACTTCCAAAATGTTTACTCTAGAGGGGGGCCCAAAAAATGTACTTTTGGTCAACCATTAACATTGCATTGTCAAAGACAACAAGCCATTTTCAACACTTTAGATTGGTCAGTCATTTGTAAAAGTAACAACGACACACGTGGACTGATCAATAATGTACTATAGATCAATGGCATTTACCAAATTGTGACGTAGCATGACGAAAGTCCACCAAGATTAATGCTAACATATGCTAGCAATAATCCTGCAGACTTTCGTTACATTAAAATGACACGGCGCGATTGAACATTTTGGTGTTTGAATATCCAACTTTGCTTTTGCTTCGTGTCAGATTTACAGTTAACTTCAACCGGGAGTGCCAAATAGCTTGAAGCAAGCACACGCGGTCTCTTCCTCAGGAAAACTGTTCGAGTGACTCTTCATTTCCTCAAAGCAAAGTTATACAATAGCTTCTTATTGACAGCAAAAATAGTGTGAACACGCGGGTAAGTAAGTAAGACTGTGGTCCCGGTGACTTTCAAAATATGAAACTGGCATAAACTGCAGCATCTGATGGGAGTCCATCATACCTTTGAAGTGAGCTTTCCTATTTCGGAGCGGCACGGCGGCAGAGGTGACAACCGGGTCACCGTCGACCGTGGTGTCTTCCTCCATAATAGTATCTCCCATGACCCACAGGCCCATCCTCCTCATGCGGATGGGTTGAGGGCCGGCTTCCTGCGGCGAGGCGGCGGCGGCGGCCTGCTGGAGAGGAGGCCCCTGAGCAGTGGGCACCTGGGCCCCACCTGGCACCAGACTCTTCAGAAAGTCCATGTTCAACTTGCCGCTTATTCGTTCGGGCGTACCGTCCAGCAGCTTGTGCCACGCCATCGTCACCCCATCCTAAGGTACGAGAGCGCCTACCGGGAGCGTCCGCATTCACCAAGATAAAGGCCAGGTCTGAGCCATGGGAGCTACCGCGTCAGTTTAGAAGGCTCCCTTAAAAGTTGTCCGTCTGGACTAACTAGTCGCTGACATACTTGAACAAAGCGGAGCAACTCCCCGCGCTGCGACGCTACCTGTCGGAAGCCAAAGAGCCGCAACACTTGCTGTGGGCCAGTGATGTCATGGCAAGTGGGCACTATCTAGGGTGGGACTCGGACGTGTTCCGCGAGAGATAACGCGGGAGGATGAGGCTGGCCACGCCCCCGTCCGGCCCGCATTGCTCGACCAGTCATAAAAGACACACCAGGGCAAAGCGTGAGACTGACAGGCAGCGTGAGAAGTCGGAAGGCATCAGAAAGCGAGCCGAACTCGTCCGCCTGCGGGAACCGATAGCCCTTATCACTGCACTCAAATGCTTGTCCGCTTCCATGCAAAACACTCAATAAAAACAAAGCTTATACAGTGAGTGCACGTTCATCGATTCACCAGATTGACCCGCAATATAGTGCGACCAGAAAAAAAAGTCGTACTTAGAGACTTGTATGACATCTCAAATCCTCCCCCAGTGCCTAGTGAGATGAATGGAAATGCCACTAAGTGGACCCCCCCCAAAAAAAGAATTTTTGTAATGTGCTTTTTTTTTTTTTAATCAGGAATATAGTACTCCACAATCCTCTACTTAAAAAAATAAAACAGACTAATAATATAAAGTAAATAGTGCAACGCGCCAAAATTGAATGCGGGGATTCATGTCATGACCACAAGAGGGCAGTATAATACAGTCATACAGAAGTGAGTTTCGTGGAATTTCGCAGCCAAAACAAGCGCAAAAGAAAACCGATGGATGAGGCAAATGGGCGACACAATGCCTCATTTTATCTGCTATGTTTCAACTACATCAAGCATCATATTATACGGATACAGTGAGACTTCAAAAAAAAAAAAAACACAACCTTATTTGATGATAAAGTTGATGTAAAATACAAGACGGCCATCCTACTCCACCTTGTGTGTGCGTTAATGCCCTAATGCATATGTGAGGTGATGCAACCACTTCAGTATACACGCCAAGGGGATTAAAAAAAAAAAAAGGCGACTGTTTGGACAAGGTCTGTAATCTGAAAATAGTACATTTTTGTTTTCACTCAGATACGACTGTTAAACACAAGCAAATAAATAAATAAGAGCTTTGCCCTCTACAGGCGAAATAATTTGAAGCGCAACACAAAAACAAGTGCCAACTTTCCTCATATGCCGTACTGTATGGGTGATCAATGGCATTTATTCTGGGCGAGGCATTAATTAACCACTTAATTTGTACAAATGCATTTATGTAATATTTATGCCAGTGATGATTTGTTATAAAATGTAGCACGATAAACAGAAAGACTTTCTCTTAAAATCCCAATGGTGTGGATTTGAGGTGTGGTGTTTATTTTTGGACAATGCGCCCGGCATGTAATACAATACAACGATACATCAGATGACTACATAAAGGTAATTTAGAAGAATATTGTGCTACCGCCTTTGATTTTTATTTTCTGAATGTGGAAAAAGGAGAGTCTATCTGAGGTGTGGCATTTATTTTTCGGACGACACGCATGGCAATTGATTGGTACAAAGTGTCCATATCCTCTTTCAAGCAGTGCTACCCAAAATATTCCACCCAAAAAAATGGTTTAAAAACAACCCCAGGACAAAAAAAATATTCATATTGAAAAATGAAATAAATATATAAATCACTGACTTTCTTAGCCTGTGCAAAAAAACAAAAAAAAAAATCACTGAATATCCGCGTCTGCTGCGTCCACTGTATGCTAAAACTATACCCAATTTTTTTTTTAAAGAGCAAATCTTCATTTTTGAAAATTACTTCTGTGTTCAAGTTTATTCCCAAGGAAAACTTCCAATTCCAGTGACAAGCAGACAGCCATCGCCAGGTGCAATGATGGCAGCCGTCCACCGGTCTGCTCTTGTAAGGCTGCTGGACAACGAGAACAATGGCGTCGCACGGGAGGCCAAGATCCCAATCAGCCCAGGAATGTGAAAGAGGAAGCCCCAGGAACAATGTGGAGCGCTCCCTGTGCCGTCCTGGGTCCCCCGCCTGCCTGCCTTGTGCTGCATGCAAGCGCAGGAGAAAACAGGAAAACTCGTGGGCTGGGACCCAGAGACCCAAGTCTGTTCTGTTCGTGTTGGGGAGGGCGCGGAAGGGGGCTGATACTGTACAGTCCTGATGATCACTTGGATCGTGCACTTATTTGACCTGCCGCACAGCCACAGCTGTGCTTTAAAACAGTTACACTGCCCCCTGATGGTAAAATAATTAACGCATTTCTTTTTGGATTCTAAAAGCAGCGGGGCCCCCCAGGCACAAAGCCGCAAAACAGTACCTATCTGGGGGCCATTTAGGACCGGTCCACAGAGAGAGACGGAACCATAAACATTTTACACAGCACTATGTGAAATTAGTTTTATTTTGAAAGTCATGTGCATCCAGCTGTTTCTCTCCCCAAAAGACCGAAGACCAGCGGTGCCCAAGTCTGCCCTCGAGAGCCTCTATCCAGTTTTCGATGTCTCCCACATCAAACCCACCAGATTCAAATAATCAATGCATTAGAAAGCTTTGCAAAAGCCTGATAAATATCCCGATCATTTGAATCAGTTGTGTTGGAAGAGGGAGACATCTAAAACAGTCTGGATAGGTACTCTTGAGGACAGGACTTGGGCACCCCCTTGCCATAAACTATACATAGTCTGTAGACATTAATATTCAATGGATATAAAAAGTCTACACACCCCTGTTCAAAAACCAGGTTTCTGTGATATTAACACACACAGAAAAAAAGGGAAACAAATTCTAAAAACAAAAACTAATGTAGTTGCACAAGTGTGCAATTATTTTGAAGAAAAAAAAATCTAATTTTTTTTAATATTCTAAAACAAAATTAGGACAAAAATGCCTTTTTTAATAAAAATCTGACAAAATAAAGATCTGGCAAAAAAAAAAAAAAAACATCCATAACCGGACAAAAATAAGTAGTCAGACCCTTGGAGCTTCAGCGCTAAAGGAACTCAGTCAGACTTTGTTTTCGCAGTCACAAATCAAAAAGCTTGCTGCCACTTTGTGTTGTGTGTTTGGACTTTTCAGATGTATGAGGCAGCCGTAAACGGGGGGCGGGGGGGGGTCCCCCCCGTCCCCCAGTGAGCGAGAACAAGCAAGGCTATGTTCAAGTTCTAGACGAATAGAGAAAGAAGTCCGGCTGGTTTGGTCACAAGCCAGAACGACAATTGTGAGGCGACCCAAGTTTTTGTCGCTCTGAAGTACCATTGTGTTTAAAATATGTTAGTGGACATGTATTGTAGTTGTGTCAGGCCGATGTAGAAATATTTTTGCGGTGAAGAAGACGCTTACTGTGAAACGGGAGTCGATGACGCGTGTCGTGATGAACCGAGCCACGGCATCTGTTCGAGGCACGACGGCAAGTGGATGACTTTGTGTCATGCGTCGGTCGTCTGTGCGTGCAGAGTTTGTGTGAAAAGAAGTTGCACGGGCTCAGAAGGATGGAAAACAAAACGGCGGGGGAGAAAAGGCAACTTTGCACTTTTCACAATCGGGCCAAGCAAGGAGATTAACACGGCCTGCTTGTGCACGGTTCCCACACTACTCGGCCCGCAGTCGCTAAGAAAACCTCAACCACAACACACGCCACGGAACGACACCTTTAACAACTAAGAACGGACGCTGCGGCTTCTCCAAAAAGGTCAGTCATACTTGTGAAAGTTCTGCATTTTTTTTTTTTAGCACTCAACTGTTCTCTTCTGCCCTGATCTGTTTATCTCTCTGTGCCCTGCGACTGACGAACGACCGGGCCGTTCTCTTGGCAACGGGGCGACTCTGCTGTGCTCTGCTCAGCTCCGGGCTGGCACCGGATTAAAACCTTCTCCCGAAGCAGCGGAATAATCTGAAGATTACCCTGCGACATCAAGCTGTTACATAACTGATCCCCGGCGTGCTAATGTGTACTTTCCTTCCAGTTTAGCATCAGGGAGTCTGATAAAAAAAAAAAAATCATTAAATTTAGTACGCTCATGTCAAACAGCATACAGCCGCCAAGTAGAACGCGCCCGAGGTCGTATTCAGGTGGGGTTGTTAGTAGTTAGAGGTTCGTTACTTTGGCAACAACTGAACCCAAGTTTGTATTTTCAAATCAGAACGCACCATAGTTTTTTAGCACCACGTTGTTTCCTATTTGACAGATTTTTATTTTGTCATCCTCAATAAGTTTTGGTGATAGTTGTGTCCGTGCTTTGTCAGATTTATATATTTAAATAGGATTTTTAATCAGGTTTGTCTGTTGTCTTTATTTTATTTTATTATTTAATGACAGCTTTTTGGCACCTTTCGATTCATTTTTTTGGTCATTTTCTGCAGATTTTTGTGTCTACATTTTGGTCGGCTGTTACCTGATTTTTTTTCGACCGCCCAAATTTGAGAATATATTTAACTGTATATTCTTTGTCAGGTTTTTGAGGCACTTTTCTCACTGTTATTCTGTTTACATGCCATATTTTTATAATTTTTATAATCAAAAAAAAACTTTTTTTTCTCCATTTTTGGCAGCTTTTTGACTGTTTTCCAGATTTTAGTCATTTTTTATAACCGCTTTTTTTTAAAAGAGTTTTGTAATATATATATATATCTACATATATACATACACAAGTTATATTCTAAATTTTGCTTATTTTTCAAAATATTTGTGTCATATTTTTCAGGTGTTAGCAGATTTTGTTTCCACTCAGATTTTTAGTTTGTAGGTTTTGTACTATAATTGATTGAGGTGTGGGGGGGGGGGCAGTTTTGACATATTTACACAGCTTTCGCTGTATCTGTCAGGTTTTTGCCGTATTTTTCTCCAACTTGTTTTGAGTTGCCAGAACTCTGTATTTCTCTCTGTCACATTTTCAGGTTTTTGTCGGGTTTTTTTTTTTCCCCCGCTGTTCACCTGAATCCGTACATAATTTTAAAAAATGCATAGTCAAGTCAATTTCCCATTCCCATCTATCGGTCCAATGTATTATTATATTGCAGTGACTGACAAACAGAAGCCGACGTACCGTGCATCAAAATTGAGCTGCAAAGGAAGGAAGTCCACATCACTGCATCACCCGTCGACCAGCCAGAAAACT